TAGTTGACCGAGACTATAACATTTTTTTCTGCACTCCTTAAAATCCTATAGCTAATAAACATTCTCTGAATCAGAAAAGAAGGGGTCATTTCATCACTCCAGCTTCTAGCAGGAGGAGCTACTCTGGCTGCTGGAAGACTTGTGTCAGAAGATGGAAAGCTCAGGGTATGAAGAAATCAAGCAGGCAATATGATTTAGCTTCTGTATAATACTAAATACAAATTAGATTTTTGCTTATAAATATACTGACATCACAGTTCCCACTTTATATACAGATTGAGTTGCTTGCCCACGTTTTAATTAGAGGAAAAGAACTATGATATTGCAATAGGTTCCATATTAAAAAAGGTTAAATTACATTAAGCACCCTTAAGTTTACCATGTCCTACACTTCCTCTCCTCCATTTTAGAAACGTAGACATTCCCTCCCATTGCTAACAGATTTTGTTACCTATAACCAGATATTATAAAATTATGACATTGTCCTCATACATAAAAGCAAAAGTGTAAATTTCTTTTATCACTCTTAAACAAGAGCGTCAAAACTCTCTCATGCTCATGCAAATCAGAGGCACTTCCTCCAACTTTTTAATTCGCAAGTAAACTCTCACTAGAATGCCATGACATTTTCCTTTTTTTTTTTTTCCTACTTACATTCACTAGAAGAATCTACAGATATCTTAGATTTTCTTTGACTCCAGTTTAGATTAGGAGCGGAAGATAGTTTTTGAGCCTTTTCTTCTAGACTTTTTTTTAACACAAAATGATAAGGCTTTTTGCTTTAGAGTGAGAAAGGAAGTTTTGGCCTTTTTCCTTTTACATATGAGGAAAATTTTTTAATTTTATATTACTTAGTTATAGTTAACAAAATTTGTCAGTAATAGATGAAAAGTGAATATTTTTAAAATAGAGATGGGGGGAGGGGGGAAATGTAGGATATAGTAAACTAAAGTGTGCCAAATGTAATTTAACCAAAGAAAACTGTGAGTAAAGAGTTTTAGATGATATTGTACCATATGCTCCATTCTAGTTTGAAGGAGCTCTTCGGAGCCCTGAAGGAACTTGTATAATCTAGTTAAGAAAATTTGGAGCTTTGATATGGGACTACTAAAGAAGAAAAAATAGAGGGAGAAAATAGAACAAGAAGAACAAATTAGAACATTACAGAGAAGGAAGGAGGGAGGGAGAGAGAGAGATGGGAAGAACATAGGAAAATAAATGAGAGGGAAATGAAAAACAACCAGAATCTGCAAATTTTACTACTCAATTCATCTTGATGCAGACCCACTGATAAATGTGCTTGTATATTAGGTAACAAATACACTCATTAAGAAGAAAGTTAAATCAGTTCCTTATAGTTCTCAACAATTCCAATAAATCCTACACTATTTCAAAACCTAAACTTGAATATCCCTAATAATTGTGATGACATTTATTTGGTTGCTTACTGATATGGAATCAGAAAAACAGGAAGTTATTTTGGCATTCTAACAATAATCTTATGCTAAGAACTTCTCTCAAGAAGGATACTCCAATGCTTAGTTAGCAGGGAAATCATAAAAATTTAGAGCATAGAGAGTCTAGAACTTTTTATCGTTTTAGGTCATAGATATTTATATAGGAAGATGAATGCTTAGTCATGGAATCTGAACATAGGAAAGGAGTGGGCAGAACCAGTCCCTCAAATGTAGGAATGTGCTTGTAATTTGCATTAGGGAGAGTTAACACATGCCAGACTGTGACTTAAAAGTGTTGAATTGGATAGCCAGGCAGCTAAGTGCTTATAGTTTGCCATGCCAGTCTGGTAGGATTAGGAAGTACCTAATTTGCCAAATAGTCCCAAATACCTACTTGAATAACCAAGTAGCATGAGGTACTATGTAGGCAAACTGGTCTGAGATACTGCCTGAGTAATCAGGTGGTACTACTTGCTTAACAAGGTAATCAGGTGAAAAATTAGATAACTACCTGAACAGAATAGCTATACGGCATGATGCATTTTAGATACTATTTAGGAAAGTAGGCGGCATTAGATGGCCACTTCATCGGTAGGTAGCAGTAGGCACTACCATGTAGCCTACAATTCTCTAGCTAGCCAGCTAGCAATGAGTTACCTGGTTGCAAAGTATTAGTAAGTATGACTTGAATAGGCAGGTAGTACAAGGTTCTATATGGCTGGCTAGGTGGTAGGAGATATCTGCCAATGTAGTCAGGTGGCAACCTAGCTGAGGTGAGTGCTGGATATAACTATAGCAAATTGGATATTAAGGGGGAAAACCCCTATCAAGAACATCTTATTCTCATATCTTCTCAAATAGGACCAGAAATTCAATAGCACCATCAATTTTTAGGTTGTCTATGAAGATAAATTAATATAAACCTCTAAATGACGTCACAGAGGTTAAAGTAAATATCCTGTAGCCATAGGTGCTAGATCATGTAGCCCTGGAAGTCATATCTGCAAGCTAAGTTACACAATTCTAAAAGGAAGACCCCAGAGATGCCAAATCCTATTTCTTGACAACCACATGGGAACCAGTTTCTGTAATAGCAGAAAGACCCAAATGAGAGGTAAAAACTGAATACGTGTGCCCCAAAAAAGAGAAATAAGGCAAAACAATGTGTATAGGATCAGTGTCATGATACTAACTGCATTTAGTTTAGATATAATAAGCAAGTTATAAACATACAAGAATCAATTTGAAAAGTCTAATTGTGCTTTAATGTGTACATCTCTTGAATCTAAAATTGAATTTTCTTGGCTCAGTCTGTATCAGCACATAGTGGACATTACCATCCAACAAATGAAAACCTTTGCAGCTTC